CTTCATTTAAAAACTGCATTTTGTGTTTACTTGTGTTATCTTTGTCTAATATTTCAATTTGTTTGATGATCTGAAACATTTCAGTGTGACAAACACTTTTTCACACCACTGTATGTAAATTGAGCATGAATATATCTACAAGTTGAGACGCCCAAAAACAAACAAGGGGCTTCACAGTGGAACATAAACAGCTAAATTTGAATGGTGTGTGCCAATTTTAAATTTGCTCAGCATAAAGTAGTCATGTCTCTGAATTGTTTTCTATATACAGGAGAAATCCCTGCCTGGGGTGGTGATGGCTTTGGTGTGTAATGTATTTGAGATGCTGTACCAGCTCGCCAATTTAGATGAGCCCAGGTAAGGTCATGGACCTTATCTTTTATTATACTCATATTTTACTGAGGAAAATAACATTTCTTAACATATATTGGTATGAACAATTTCAGTTCCCATTTATTTATATCTGAGTTTTCACTGGAGCAAGACTGATCAAGTGATTGTAATTGGACAAGTACATTCTTCTTTTTTAACAGGATAACTCTCAGAGTGCGGAAACTGCTCCTGTTGATCCCCACTGATCCAGAAGTGCAGGATGCCCTTGATAACTTTGTGCCTAAAGAGTCCAGTGTCTGGAGTCATCAGGTAGCTTCCCTTTCACTAAAGTTTGCCGCATTCTAATTTAAAATTATCTGAGCTGTCTTTATCGGCAAGTGTAACTGATGAGGTTTTTTAATATTTTGAGTTTTAAAAATATTTAAGAACTTATATTGAGTACAATCGGAATGTTAAGTGCTGAAGAGATTGCATGCCTCATACTGAGGAACATACTGAAATATAAAATACATTTTGCAATACAGTAGTTGGGTTTTTATTTTAGTTTTTTTTTCTTGAAGAAGTTTACTAAGCTGCTTGCTTGTGTAAATATTTTGATTTCTGTGTTCATTCATATTTCTTTTGTGTGTTTTTTTCTGGTTAGAAAAGCCTGTTCACAGTGGGTTCAGGGTCTCAGGCATCCAAGTCTCCCTCATTGTCTTCAAAGCAGCAGCACCAACAGAGTGCTGCCTCCATCCTGGAATCCCTGTTCCGCTCTTCTGCACCTGGCATGTCCACTTTCAGAGTGCTCTACAACCTGGAGGTATGGCACTTGGCATCCTGCATGTCACATGTCTTCATGTAAACTATTATAAATACTTCTGGTCACTGTTGGTCACCAGTGCTAAAATCGTACTGGTTATTGTTGAAGCCACAGTAATTGATTTAACTTGATTTAAATTGATTGAACAAATGAAGATTATGTAGCACTTTGAAGAAAGTATAATGTTAATGCAGATTTTTGTTTTCATACTCTCATGAAGGTAATCGGAAAACCAAATCAGAAAATCAGGATCAAACAGCATAAAAGTAATTCAGACCTTGGGATGTGTAACACATCTTTTACTCCTAAAGAAGAATAGTACTGTTTTGTTGGTATAAAAAATGAACAGTAATGTAGATAGATTTTTATATTTTTATTTTTATTAATATCTTCTCAACCTGCCAGAGAATGTATGGATCATGTTTTCATCTTATTCATCAGTTTGAGTTCATAGAAGACAATCATCTTGACAGTAAATGAATGAATACTATATGATTTCACAGGTATTAAGCTCCAAACTAATGCCAACATCGGATGATGAAATGGCAAAAACCAGTGTGAAGTCTTTCTGTGAAAACTTTCTCAAAGCAGGAGGTTTAAGGTAAGAATGCCATTAGTTATGATTCAATTTTTAAATTCATCAGGCATTCATCAGTGCAGTTTTCTTACCATTTAGTTCTGTCATCTCATTAATAATAATGTGGTGGGTATATTAATAGTTTTCACTGCCATTCCACTTACAAGACAATGTAGAAGGTCCTGAGCATTGTAAAATTATCGGATCCTGTCAGACAGAAGGTACAGATTTTGTTTTCCGCTTTCTCTCTTGCAGCCTAGTGGTGAATGTGATGCAAAGAGATTCCATTCCTTCTGAGGTAGACTATGAAACCAGACAAGGGGTCTACTCCATCTGCCTTCAGCTTGCAAGGTAAGTAGTGCTTTCAACACACTGGCAGCTGTTTCCAGTTTGTAAAAAAATTTCAGGAATTTTTGTAGATTACTTTTTATGAGAACAGTGTATGTATTTATGTAAAACCATTAACCAACTAACATTTCAGAATATTTCATAGCACTAGTTGTTTTTAAAATATTTAATATATTAAATTTTAGTGATTGTTATTCGTACTAGAGATTTTCTGAAGCTAAACCTTGCAGGTTAACTCTGTTATGGAAGAGTTAGGTGTATCTGCTGTATTGTAAGTGTCTTCTCTGAAAGAGATGTTCTAGTTGCTTTGCCACAATTCTTTTCTTCACATATAACAAGTAAAAGAAAAAGGTTCTGTTTGACAGTGTATAGTATGTGTTGATGCATCAGTCATGTCCTCTGTCCTGCAGGTTCCTGTTGGTGGGACAGTCAATGCCAAGCTCTCTTGACGAGGAGCTCAGTAAAGAGGGGCTGGACACACTGTCTTCCCGACCATTCCGTAACATCAGCCGACAGAGCAGCCGTCAGCTTTCTCTATGCGGCACACCAGAAAAGTCTTCTTACAGGCAGATGTCCATGTCAGACCGCTCATCTATACGGGTTGAAGAGATAATCCCAGCTGCACGGGCTGCCATCCAGGTTTGTACAGTTGTTTACATTTGAGGCAACACACCTGAGTGAGGGTTATTCTGAATTACTGCAGGAATTTGTACTGGTTGGATACCAATTAAAAAACCCATTCAACATTTTAAGAGCTAAAAGCAACTTTAAAATTTGTACCACATACAAAAATTAAGTAATTTAGTCTGTGATTGAAACTCCACAGGAGCAAAAAGCACAAGAGGTTACCGTCCCTCATGAACAGGACTAGAAACCACTCTTTGAAGTGAAACAGATACCTTCTTGGACTAGAGAATCTAGAGAATAGGTGTTTGCTTCATCCATGTGTTTTCATCAATATCTCCCTCAGCTGTCACAGTTAGTATGATTGCTAGTCTTTTTCTTACAAATTTATACTTGCTTCTTTTTCCTCTCCCTCGCCTACGTCGTCAAACACCTGGGATCAGACAATGGAGGTCAGTGACTTCACCTCCACAGTAGCCTGCTTCATGCGCCTCACCTGGGCAGCAGCCGCTGGGCGATTGGACCTTGTGGGCAGCAGCCAGCCCATCCGAGAGAGCACAAACTCCTTGTTCCCCTTGGGGATCCGAAGCCGCCTCAGCAGTACAGGTAACGGCAGTGAGCTTTAATAAGACATAACAATAGGCCAGGTGGTGGTTGATGTGGCCAACATAATACACATTATTGTGTTTTTTATTGCATGCACAAATTATATTTCAACAGAATTTTACACAATGAGTCTCATAGTGCCTAACAGCAATGTAAATTTTATTTGGGGGGGTTGAATGGCTCTTAGTCTATTCCTCTTCACTTTCTACCTAGGCTATTTGGTATTCACACTGACACCTCCAACTGTGGACAATATTGTGTCAATACTGAGGACTTTGTGTAATTACTGTGATACTATAAAATAAGATTTTAGGTTTACCTTTTTTTAAAATCATAAATTCTTCTGCCCCATCTCTCGGTCTGTCATACAGGCAGTAACTGCAGTTCAGGGAGTGAAGGAGAATCTACAACACTGCATGCTGGGATATGCGTGAAGCAGCAGTCTGTGTCGATCAAAGACACCATCATTGCTCGCGAGGCCCTCTCCTTATTGGTCACCTGCCTGCAGCTGCGCTGTCAGCAGCTCAGTGAGTCACAGATTTCCACACAAGCATTCTGGTGATGGTTGTAGTTCCTGCCCTTTAATCCAGGAAGATATAAAATCCTTTTATAAGATGTTTTGTTTTCCCCTTCTGTCTAATTGATCACTTTCAGTCTTAAATCACTGTAAAGGTTTTCTATTTCTGTACGCAGCATGACGGTTGATTTGTCTGCATTTTTAATATTTTGACATGTTTTCCTGTAACTATGCTCCTAAGAGTTAATCCTCAGAATGAAGTCATCAATGTTATTCTAAAATTTAAAGTCACTATAAACGTCTGTGTTTTTATTACTTTGGCACAAAGATATTTCACAGAAATGTATAGAATGTTAACAGATTTTTTTAGTTTTAAAAAAGAAATAGCCTGTTTTGGGGCTCAAGGCCAGACACTTGAGAATATCTCTTATTCATATTTTGGATACAGTATTCTCTTTTTATAAATGGAATACATCTTATATTTACTACAAGTCTTTTTCCACAATAAACTAGTTGTAACAATATTAGTGATGATTTTTCTTACAAGCTTACAATTTTTTAATTTGTCTTCTTTCTCTAGGTTCATTTTATAACTTGCCTTGTGTGAGTGATTTTATTATTGATATACTACTTGGATCGCCAAGTGCAGAGGTATGTTTGTCTTTAAACTGACAAGTTTGTCCATTTTAACTGCTTTTTCCTTTAATTTTGTTTTTATAAAACATTTCAGTGCAGTGGGAATTTTTCCATATTGCTTTCTGCTGCAGATTCGGCATGTTGCCTGTGATCAGCTCTACACTCTGAGTCAGACAGATACCTCATCCTATCCAGACCTGCAGAAACCCAACCTGTTTCTCCTGAAAGCCATTCTGACTGCTCAGCTCCCTTTGTGGTCCCCAACTAGCATCATGAGAGGAATCAACCAGAGGTAAGTCTTTACTCCTAGCTGCCATATAAATAAAACATAATAGTAGAGCTCCTGTATGTTGCAGCAAAGCACAAAAGGGAGCAGATTCAGACGTATATGTATTGGAACGTAAGAAAGGTCACAAACAAGAGGAGATCATTTGGCCCATCTAGCCTGATTGACATTAGTTAATTGGCCCAGGAACTCATCTAGCTGTTACTTGAAAGAAGCCTAGATTTCAACTTCAACAACATGACTGGGTTGCTCGTTCCATGCTCCCCCGAAACTTTGAGTAAAGATATGCCTATTGTTCTGATGTTAAAACTTTTTTATTTTTGGGTTTTAAAATAGTTTGGCCTTGTGCACCATATGGAAGAATTATTGGAAATTTGCAGTCATTCCCACCCATGTCAGTCATAAATGTATTTCCTATTAAGACCTATTTAGTCATAATGAAGTGAGCAAACTATTAAAAAGTATGTTGAGAAGGAACAGTATTAAGTTCTGTATGCTGAAGTCCCAGCACCCCTGATGCTGGGTGCAGATTCAAGTGCAGAAGCTGGTAAATAAGCAAGAAGATCAATTAAAGGCATCAATTAGCACTAATGATTTGAGTCATAGCAGTTCCCAAGGACAAGGGTTAAGAATCGCTGCTGGAAGGTTACTCATTAGTACATGTGTAGATGTGTGGTATTTTCACAAGGTGATTTGTTATTTATTTCATTTTAAGTTTTCCTTTTAAAAAAGGAAAGTCACTTTTTACAAACTCTTAACTAAATTGTATGCTGAAGTATATTTGGTGATTGTCTTTGTGGTCTCTTCCTGTTAGGCTATTGTCCCAGTGCACTGAGTATTTTGACTTGAGGTGCCAATTACTGGACGATCTGACATGTAAGTCTTTGTTGAATGAAAACAAGTGTGTGAAATAAATGTTTTGTATGTTTTTGCACTCTCTCACATGCAGTGGCATCTCTATAGTAGAAGTAATATCTTTTTGTAGGATTTTATTATTATTAAACAACAGTTATTATTAGTTTTATTTTCTGTAGTGTGCTGTAATCAGAGTATTCTATACACAAAAACATTTGTGTTTAAGATTTTTAAATTACTTTTCCACTTTATCTCCTAGAGGATCTCATAACCATGACAACAAGTAAACATAAAGGCAGTGAAGTAATAAATTCATGTATGCTGTATTGTCCCTGTCTTTTCTCCAGCTACAGAAATGGAGCAGCTGCAGATTAGCCCTGCTGCTATGCTAGAAGATGAGATTAACTGGCTTGATAACTTTGAACCCACATGGACTGCAGAGCTAGAGACCAGTGAGGCTGACAACATCCTTCAAGCAGGACACCTACGGCTTATCAAGACTCTCCTGTCTCTGTGCGGAACAGAGAAAGAGCAGCTCGGTGAGTCCTTTTACAAGCCAGGTATGTTGACTCTTTACCCACAATGGCTAGATACACAAGAAAAATTAATGGTCAACTAAACTTAAGACCCATCTCATTATTATGTTATTCTTACTAGGAATGTAATAAAAACAGTGTTTACCAAACCCTGCCACTTCAGCTCCTGCTGTATTTGCTGTTTAGGATTGAAGTTAGTCTTGAGCAAGATGGGTTGGAGTTAAAATTACAGTTGTGACCATGTACTTCCTCTACAGGTCCCTCCCTGATTCAGCAGCTGTTAGATGATTTCCTGTTCCGAGCCTCACGGATCATCCTGAACAGTAACAACCCTGCTGGCTCATCTGCCCTCAGCCAGGACTTTCACCCCAAGTGAGACAGTGTCATCTCTTTACATGCATGTTTATAAATTAAATTGTGTTTTTATCATATAATAACTTTGTGTTTTCATTCCACGTGTCCTGGAAAGGCTGGAAACTCAGTTTCGAGGCTTGGACATTTAGAGAAAAAATTGAGAAACAGTTTAATGATCTAGTTCTTTTTGAACTTTCTTAAAATTAGCATAAGAATGACAGAGGTGTACAGTAAACCTCTGTTCAAAAACCTCTTTAAAAAGTTTATTTTTACATAATGCTAAATAAAAAGTTATTTAATTGGTCTTTTAATGTGATCCAATGTTAATGGAAAACCTCTAAAGTGTCTTGAAAATCCATGAGGAATAAAGTGTACTAGTCCCTCTGATATTTAGTGATGAATCCCTTTCCTTCAAAGGGTGACGGAATAAACTACCCATAAATGTTGTTGAAGCTGATACACTGGCTTATTTTAAGAAATGGCTGGATTAAATCCTAGTATCATGTTAGATATCAACCATCAGGCCTGCTAGATAGGCCAAATTGCCTCCTCTCCTTTGTAGCATATCTTACGTTCACTTCTCTTAGGTGTAGCACAGTCAACAGCCGTCTGGCAGCCTATGAGGTGCTGGTAATGTTAGCAGACAGCTCACTGACTAACCTGCAGATCATCACCCAAGAACTGCTGTCTATGCACCACCAGGCTGACCCAGCCCACACCAAGGAGTTTGACGTGAGTACGCAACACAGTCTTTTGAGCTTGTTGGGGAGGGCGAGGATGTTTCTCTTCATATTGTAGTACTATGTCATCTTCCTCACGGTGCAGAAATTGAGTTACATCTAAATGTTGCAATTTAATTAGAATGATGGGTAGAAATGTCCACAAGCTTTAACTTATCTTATTTTTTTATTGTTATTGCTTGTAGCATGTGTTTATAAAGAATGACAAATTACTTAATTGTATAAACAATTCTAAACAAACATGAATTGGTTAAGGTTTTTCTAGTGTTAAGTTAACATGACAGCCCTTGCACTGCTGAATCAAGAAGCACTATGTCACAACTTTGTTTGGTATGTATCCTCAGTACTTGCCCCCAGTGGATAGCCGCTCAGTCTCGGGGTTCGTGGGCCTGAAAAATGGAGGAGCCACCTGCTACATGAATGCAGTCTTCCAGCAGCTCTACATGCAGCCTGGGCTCCCTGAGGTGAAAGAGAATTACAAATTATTTATTCACATCTGATGGGGCTTCAGGGGGTCAGTAAGTAAAAATCAGAGGTTTGTGAAAAGGGGCTTCTTCTCTTCTTTCCTAAGTGTCATTAAAGTGAGTATTAAAGTGTTTTAAGTAAATCAATTTACACAGTTGTCATTACATAATTCACACCTTAATCTCTGTAGATGTATTTGGATAAAAGTAACAGCTAAATTATTATTATAGCGCTGCCACTTTCTTCAGAGTATTTGACACCGTCCTAATGTCAGCATGCCATTATTGGGAATTCAGCACAGCTTGATTCAGCTTAGTCAACCATTAAATTGATCCTCCAGTTTTATAGTGGCTTTTAAATTTGATCAATTTGAAACCTAGGATATAAAGCTAGGATTTTCAAAGCTAACACCACAGCACAATGTATATTTTCCATATGCAAGTTCAGTTGAAGAGAGTAACAGCTGTATCCCAATTTCAGTATCAAACCAAGTTTTGAAATGTTAAGATTTTTTCTCAATTGGTTTTTCAAGCAATCCTTGCTCACTTATTCTGATCAACATGCCCCTTTGCCTCTTCTAGTAGATCACTGTTGGTGACGTATTATGACATAACATGGCATTGTGAGTTTTGTATTTAAGAAACATTCCATCCATTATTTTACTAACTGCATTGTTAGTTATGTAAAATTTACTTTGTAAAGGGCTGTTTTCCATGTCTTCATTTTATCAGCTTTAGTTTCTTATTTAAAATTTGTTTTTAGGACATCCTGCTTCTGCTAAAGTTCGTGTCAGTGTGTTTATGCTTATTTACCTTCACATGTGTTGAGCTGCAGTATGAATGGAATGCATTTTTAATAGAAAAATACTAACTGTAAGGCCCTACTCAGGAGGTGCTGGTGCTGTTTGTTTTCCGATCTCTCTTGTCCTAAAAGGAGTTATACACAAGGTGCTGCAAATGCATCTTAATATAAAAAAATATAATCTATAATGGACTAGTTAATGGGCAAATCCCTTTTGCTGAAGTACATACAGAGAATTTAAGTTATTGTTGATAAGCATTTTTCCTGTCCCTCTACAGCTGTTTCTTTTATGATTGTTTGTTTGACGTTAAGGATAAAGGCCATGGTTCCTGTCAATTTGCTGTATTCTAGGCCTTCCTGTCTATTGAGGATGAGACAGAGAACCCAGATGAGAGTATCTTCTATCAGGTCCAGTCCCTGTTTGGGCACCTAATGGAGAGCAAGCTGCAGTACTACGTACCTGAAAATTTCTGGAAGGTGCCCTTTGTTTTTAGCCTTATCACTTTTAACATCAATCACACAAATGCATTTAATCTTTTATGGAAAAACAAATTCTAGTTTTAAAAGTTACAAAGCTTGCTGAAACTCTTATTGTTAGGCACCTTATTCTCTTTAATTGAAATTAAGCCAACCCACCAGCACTTGTTCAGTGGATTAGAAATATGATGCAGTTTCCTGAGTTGGAGAAAATGAGGTACACACTTAGAAGGTGCAGAATTAAGTTTTTTAAAGCTTGACAGACATTTCTGAACTATTTTAAGACTTTGAGCCTCCCTTCTACACCCTAGGCTTTAATCTGTTGATAAATGTCTGTTTAGATCATACCTGATAAGACTGACCTTCCACTTTTTTGTTTCCAACAGTCTAGTTAAAGTACTTCGCTTTATCTACTTTTTTATGTCACCTGTCTCTTTCTCCTTTAGTTTCACTCCTTTTTGTGGGGGAACATTAAGTGAAAATGTGGGAAGGGGATTGAAAATCCTTTTATTTTTGCTTTTCTTGTTATTCTCAGATAAAAAAGTGTACTAACATTTTACATGCTCTGTAATATTACTTTAAAATGCAACTTATACATCATGTATTATGCTTCATGTATTGAAAGAAAATACTTCTAAAAAATTTTGGAGCATGCACAGAATGCTTTGAAGCATGTCTTAAATAATATTTGCAGGCCTGTTTTTGGAGTTGTCAATTGCTGTTGTGTTTTCCACAGATCTTTAAAATGTGGAATAAAGAGTTATACGTACGAGAGCAGCAGGATGCGTACGAATTCTTCACTAGTCTTGTTGACCAGCTTGACGAACATCTCAAGGTATTAAGTAGAGCCTGTCCTATTCTCATATCCCTGTTACCTGTCTATAAATCACAGTATTTGTAGCCTGTATGTTTTTACGTACACACAACTGCAGGGGGTGTATTTTATTCTAAACTAGATGTTCATGTTAGCCTTGTTGCATAACTTCAGTATTAACTTAAGGGTGCATTATTGAAGAATAAGCCAGTTTAGGTTTTACATGTGGAAAATCAAGAGTGAATAGCAGCTTCTCTGAAAACATAAATTTTGCTTTATTTCAAACAGAAAATTGGTCGGGACCAGATTTTCAAGAACACTTTTCAAGGAATTTTCTCCGATCAGAAGATCTGTAAAGACTGTCCACATAGGTAAGGTTTTGACACAATATACGCATTGTGCTCTGTAATGATGCTGTTTTTTTGTTTATGTTCCATGTTTTTTTGCTTATAAACAGGTATGAGCGTGAAGAGACCTTCATGGCCCTCAACTTGGGTGTAACATCATGCCAGAGCCTGGAGATCTCATTGGACCAGTTTGTCCGAGGGGAGGTGCTGGAGGGAAGCAACGCATACTACTGTGAGAAGTGCAAGGAGAAGGTACAAAATCATCCACAAAGCTGAAAGGAAAATGAAATGATTTCAACTTTTTTATTTTATGCACTGCATTGCTCTGGCATCCGTTCTAGCTTATTATTACTTCCTTACAGCATGTGTTCCTAGGATAGCCTGGCTGTTGCTGTGACTCATACAGGAACAGGCAGCTTTCTGAAGGATGGATTTTTTATTTTTCACAAATTTCATTTTATGTGAATTTATATAAATAATATACTATTTTATACAGTAAAATAGTATATTAAATTATTTCAACCAGGTGTATATAAAGAATACATTGTTAAATAGTTCAGGTGGGTAGCTGTGTCAGCATGCGTAGGCTGCAAAGGAACAAGTAATTAGGTTTATTCCATGCTGAAAAGAGAAGAAAGAAAACACTGTTTCGGCCGTGGAGCCTTCTTCAGGTGTGAGAAAGACAGGGCAGTAAGCAAAGGTAGTGTAGCAGGAGAACAAAAGCTGGGAGAGAGGAGGGGCGGGAGCAGGGGACAGACAGAGTGGCCAATCGGTAGTGTGAAGTCAGGTTAGGTGAAGAGAGGTGTGAAATGAAACCTACAATGAAAAGAGAGAATTTAGAAGACAATTAGTCTGTCGTTGAGAGAAGGAGGAAGGTGTGATTCTAGCTGCAGGATAATTTTATTATATTTTATATAATAATATTTTTTTTTTATTATATTTTCTGTAGTCTTTCTGATATAGTTAGGAAAACCATCTTTGAGAACACTGATGGAAAGATTAGTGTGTAATTTTGGCCGTCAGAGGTGAAACAATAGGCTTAGAGAAATCTGGCCTCTCTGTCTGTCCCCTACCCCCGCCTTCCGCTCCTCCTCTCTCCCAGCTTTTGTTCTCCCGCTACGTTACCTTTGCTTACTGCCCTGTCTTTCTCACACCTGAAGAAGGCTCTATGGCTGAAATGTTGTGTTTTTCTTCTCCTTTCAGCATATAATAAACCTATTACTTATACAGTACATTCTTGAATTCTTTGTCCATTTTTTTAATCTTTCATAAACAGTGAGCACAGAAAAATAGTAGTAACTGCTTACAGTAGCAGTAACAGTCTTCCATCAAATTGTGTTATTCTGGCATGAATGGCAGGAAACTACAATATACATTTAATACTCTGCAACAGAAATCAAATAATCATGAAGTGTGTTAAATGAATATAAAAATTGATTTTCAGGGTGTCTGATGCACTTTGCTTAATGTAGTTTGATTTTTTTGTGGGTGCCTGCTTTTTTGTGCTAGTATGCCACTTTATAATGATTTTTAAAGTGATTTGATTTCATTTACATTTTGGATTTTGACATTTAATGTTATTTGACACATTTGTAAAAAAAAAAGCAAGTTTCTAGTTCCAGTTCTCTGTAGGATTACTGCATTAAAATAGCATCAGCTTTATTCTTGTTTTGAATTGAAGGACGTGTGTTCTCTAAAAGTGCACAAATAAGACCTTTTTCATTAAAACATCTACATTTTTTAAAGGTTTAGATTTTCAAAGTAATTTTAATAACTTTTCACCTCTAAAAACCATTCTTTTGAAGAAAATATTTTGAATCTAATATTTTGAAAATATTTGAAAGAAAAATTGTTTTCCATGTAGTTGACCAGAGGTCGGACTTGTACCAGCAGAAGTGATGTTTTCTCATTGTTTTTGCTGTCACAGCGAACCACAGTGAAGCGCACCTGCATCAAATCCCTCCCCAGTGTCTTGGTCATCCACCTCATGCGGTTTGGGTTTGACTGGGAGAGTGGGCGGTCCATTAAGTATGATGAGCAGATCAGGGTAAAAACAAAATACTTTTTACAGAGTACCTCAGGATTGTACTGCCATGTATATGCCAAGCTATAAGCCAAACTTTCTTGTATTGAAAGTATGTGTATATATATTTATATGGATTTGCTATGCATGTATTGTATATGAATATTTAATTAAAATTATTCATTGTGAAATGTCTGATTCAGGCAAGGTATGTGAGATTTAAGAGTTTCAGAAAGCATTTTATTGACAGCTACATGTCACCACTGTTTTGTGCTATCTTGCACATTGCATTGCTGTTTTCATATTTAAGAGTACAGTGCGTCCTCTCCTATAATAATGTTTAAATCTTCTAAGGAGGAAGATACACGGTATGTTTCTTTTGTTCTTTCTAAATCCCGAGTCCCAGCTGAATCTTATAAATGGTTTGGCAATACCATCCTTGCCCAAATGAAGAACCTTTACATTCTGTTCATTTTTACATCTCTTCTTGCTGTGTTAGTTCCCCTGGGTGCTGAATATGGAGCCATATACCGTGTCTGGGATGGCCCGACAGGACTCAAGCTCAGACCATGGAGAGAATGGCCGCAGTGGGGAATTGGGAGCGGGAGGTTCTCCACGGAAAAAGGTGACGATCTCAGAGAACTATGAGCTAGTTGGCGTGGTGGTGCACAGCGGCCAGGCACACGCAGGACATTACTATTCTTTCATCAAGGACCGCAGGTGAGTGCATGGAAGATGGGGATGGAGGCAGATGTGGGGCAGTTAGTGCAAGATCAAGCTGTATGTTGTGATTACATTGTGCTTTAGATCATATTATCAACAGAATATCAGTGTTTGAAAGAATTACCAGTGGCAGAAAGGCAGAGGAGAATTGCAGTGGTTATGTTAAGATTGATTAAAGTGATTGTGCTATTCTGATTCTTTTTATGCAGTCAGGCTATAATCAATACAAATGTGAAACAGAAGCTGGTTTTAAGCTTAATAAATATCAGCTTAATTTGTAATTACTCCTGCAGGAAATGTAACTCCATGCTATTTTTAAAATCTTTCAGAGGAAGCGCCAGAGGCAAATGGTACAAATTCAATGACAATGTGGTGGAAGAGTTCGATATGAATGATGAGACTTTAGAATATGAGTGTTTTGGAGGAGAATACAGACCCAAGGTCTATGATCAGTGTAAGTTCTGATGCAGTAAAGTGTATCGCTCATTTTGACTTTACTGCTTCTTTCTAATTAAAGTGAGTCTGTATTTCTACGCCATTTTTACAACTATTTCTAGGGTGTGTCTTTTGTATGGGGCTGTATTGAAAATTCTTATTCTCAACCCCTAGAGATAAAGAGTACAAATCAGTATCTTTTAAATTTCTGTTCTGAAGAGGTTTAAAGTCCATTTTAAACACAAAAAAGTATTTTTTAAAAGGTAAAATAGAATACAGTTTTTATCAGGTCACTCCATATTCTCAGAGTGTTTCTGAAGTGGGACATGTATATATCTCACTTATCCATGCATCAAAGTATCACCACTTAAGCACATTGTGAGAGGTGTTGATGGGGTCTGTTCATTTAGCCTCAAACAAAAGTTACACTAAGATGCCATAAAGCTGACTTGCTTTAGCAGCCCCACTGGCTTAACTCTACATAATAAAAGACAGGAACTACACCCACAAACAGGATAAACCAGACCAATGTCTGCTGCATATCAAAGGACAGAACCTAGAGCAAGACCAAGTAGGACAAGTAGTAATTCATATTAAATAACAGGACAAGCACTCAGATTGTGAAACAAACTTTCTTCTGACTGTATATAAGAGCTGGGAAACCCTTGCAGTTTGTCTGTTCTGCAGGGCAGACCCAATACGCATTGATGTCATTATTGAGTTCAATAAAACAACTGAATCCATGAAGGATTTCCCACAACAGTTTCCATACTGCTTTTCTCTGTTCCATAGCCAATCCTTACCCAGATGTGCGCAGGCGATACTGGAATGCCTACATGCTTTTCTATCAAAGAATATCTGACCAGAACTCACCCGTTTTACCAAAGAAAAGCCGAGTGAGCGTTATGCGTCAGGAGGCAGAAGATCTGTGTCTGTAAGTAGAGTGGCAACTCGTATCTCCCCTTACCCATCAACTTTTTTGGCAGCCCACTGTTTTGTATGGGATGTACTAATTTATCAAGGAGCAGCATCCGAGGCTGAATGAGAAAAATGTAATCATCTGAACATTAAAGCTTGCCCTTGTTTTGTGTGTTTACTAAAAGTAAGGGCGATGATGCTGAGTTTTAAAATATTATATATGGGCAACATTTGGTTTTCTGCAGTGTGATATGTTCTTAATTTCTCTTTAGGTCTGCTCCATCTTCCCCCGAAATTTCTCCTCAGTCCTCCCCCCGGCCACCTCGTGCTAATAATGACCGCCTGTCTCTTTTGACCCGGTTAGTGAGGAAAGGAGAGAAGAAAGGACTATTTGTGGAAAAAATGCCAGCCAGAATCTACCAGGTAATGCCAGGAAATAATTTGAAATAGATAAAATCAGCTGAGTAAAAGCTGTATTATTAGTATTTTGCTAGTGTATGATGGTGTACCTCTCTTGGTAAGGGATTTCTTTTTCATGTGTAATTCTATGAGTTTATCTTGCTAAATATGGTGCTATAAATTACATTGAATCAAATTAAAAACAAAAATACGTTTTTATTTCATTTTTCTTTGACTATTTTAAGAGAGACATAGCTAGAGATCTCAATATAAATTGATTGCATTTTTAAAGCCTTTCAGTATACATGAAATCTTCCCAAGAAAAATAAGATGTGTTTTGTGTTATGCTTTTGTTACAGATGGTGAGAGATGAAAATCTCAAGTTTATGAAGAATCGAGATGTATACAACAGTGATTATTTCAGCTTCACTTTGTCCCTCGCTTCTGTTAATGCGGTATGCCTGCTACAATTTTTCTTTTTAGAATTAAGGAATTTATTCTATAAATCAGTGGTCATGGATTTGTGTGTATTGTAGTTAATCAAAAATACTAGAACAGTTACTGGAAATACTATTACTAGAAAATGAATAAAAAAAACATTTACTAGAATTTGTTTTATTATAAATGTGGTAAATAATTTAAGGCATTGATGTAAGAAGCTGCTAATATTATGGGGCTGGATTCATGACCTAACAAGGATTAGCAAAGTCTTTTATCCAAATGCCTAGCCACAAAAACAGTACATCAAGAAGACTACAGTGTGTTTTAACTACACTTGCATTTGTCCGAGATTGCTTGGTTTGTGTTGAGATTTATTCCTATATTACAGACCAAACTGAAGCATCCATCTTATCAGGCAATGGCAAAGGAGAGCCTTGAGCTAGCAGTCCAGTTCCTCTTCCACACCTATCTACGCACAAAGAAGAAACTCAGGTAGGCCATAGAGAAGAGAATGCAATAGACCAGTGGTTCTCAAGCTGTGGTATGCGTACCGGCAGTGGTACGTGGAGTGCTGCCAAGTGGTACGCCAAATGACCCTGGAACTGTGTCGTGTGCGCTGAAAAATCGTGACGGGTTTTCATATTTTGTATTTTAATACGTGTCGAATACGCAGCCTACGTACTACGATACAGTGCGCGCTAATACTTCAGTGGACACAAGAGATACTCTGTAATTCTATACCACCCTATAGGAATACGTGCTACGGATGCAAGTGACCAATTGTATTTAAAAAGAGCTACTGTATCTCCAGCAAATAGGGAGAAAGGAGAATGTGCATGATTTTGGAACAATGCCAACGTTGTAAACACAGGAATGCATAGAAATACATGCTACGAACGCAGGTAATCTTGTGAGCACACGAAAGCGTGATAACAGAAAAAGAACTGTTCTAATTTGAGAAAAATACACTGAGCGTCTCTGTGTTTCGCTCCCATGCGCATGAAATAAAAACTTTAAATAAATACGGAAATAAAAACGGAAACGTGGAAAAATGCAAGTTTGCGGATTGCTAAAGCAGGTAAGCTACACTATTTTTAAAGAACCGTATTTACCTTTGGCAAAAGAGCTGACATTTATTATGTGTAGAGAAAAGGCTGCTAAACAGCTCGACCTGCTGCCCCCCTCCCCCTGAAAGATACAGTCATTCATAGAATTATTGAAATGAAGGATTATATCAAAAGTACGCTGACAGAGTGCGTTAAGATGAGCAGATGTTTTTCACTGCAATTAGATGAGTCTGTAGTCGATTTGGCCAATTTGCTCGTTTATGTTAGATACGAGTTTGAGGGCATGTCCCATGAAGACTTTCTGTTCTGTAAACCGCTACCAACAGGAACTACAGGAGTGCACATATTTCAGCTTCTGAATGAATTTATCGAAGAGAATGGCCTCGACTGGATAAAATGCGTCTGAGTTTGTACAGATGGTGCTAGAGCAATGACAAGCCGACATAACGGTGTAGTTGCACGAATTCGATAGGTTGCTCCAGAAATTAATGTACACATTACAACATCCACCGCGAGACCTTTGCCGTCAAAAAAATGGCTGACAATTAAATACCTGTTAGAGTCTGTTGTGAATTGTATCAAGGCTTGAAAAATTAATTCACATCTGCTTTGCTCAACTAAACAGGCTCACCCCTCTCACTGAAATGGTGCTTTTTTATTAGTTGTTGCTAATGTTTTTTTTCTGTAAAACACTTTGAGAAGCCACCTTTAAAGGCGCTATATCAAAGTTTATTATTATAATATTTATTATATGTATGTGTGAGTGTGTGTGCTCGCTCACCCATGTTGGTCATTGAGAATTTCAGGGGTTCCTATGAGATGATGACTTGTAGGTGGTACTTGGATGCTTTGGTTGGTTTAGGGGTGGTACTTGGTCCAAAAAGTTTGAGAACCACTGCAATAGACAGTAATGTTTTATACATACAAGAAGGAAAAAAGGCTAAATGAATGTCTTCACATATAAAACCACAGTTTGCCCACATATAAACTTTTATTAAAACTTTCCACTTGTAATAGATGATTCAATATTTATTTCCCTGCTAATTAAATCTAAAGTTTGTATATATCCCCACTGATAGATAATGTGGTATATGCACTGTGGCTGCTGTTGCATCATCCAGGTGTGTGCTGCACATTGGTGGTGGTGGAGGGGAGTCTCCATTATCTGTAAAGCGCTTTGAGTGGAGTGTCCAGAAAAGCTCTATATAAGTGTAAGGAATTGGTAATACATCTGCACCAAAATCTATAGTACCCTAGAGACTCGACACTGTGAATCATGTTGTGTCAAATGCAGAGCACATGAGCCTGCAACATGAATTAGTATAAAGCCTGCCCAATGCAGTAGGGATCCTGATAATTATATGTGTGTGTACTAATTTTCCTCCTTTCTTTCGCTGTATTGTAGGGTTGACACAGAGGAGTGGATTGCTACGATAGAAGTTCTGCTGTCCAAGAGCAATGAAGCCTGCAAGTGGATGATTGAATACTTAGTTGGATCAGAAGGACGGGAACTTGTTAAGTAAGGTTGCAAAAGAGAGTCAAGGGTGATGTTTTTAAAGCAGTGATTTTAATTAAACTTTCATGTTGCTTTCATGCATCCTATTAAATTTACCAATATAAGGTCAGTTCGTGCTATAATTGGTAACTTTAATTATACTAATCAGGGTAAAATGATGACGTTTAGTTCTCATCTGCAGTAATTAGCCGTAAAATTTAAAAAACGTGACATGATACTAAGGTGTACGTACCAAGCTTTTTAACCCACACCCAATCCCAGTGCAGTTTGTCAAAGCTGTCACTGGGGTAATTTAAAATCTCTTAAGAGAGGAATGCTGATTTTGTGGACTTCAAAGGGCAAATGGAAAATGAACTGTCTAACTTCACCTTAACTGTTATACATTCTTTAAAATGGACAGTTGAAGGATGTACTCAGCAAGCACGTTGGCTTTTGTCTTAATTTGCCTTCAAAGCCTAGTCTTCAAGTCAGAATATCCTCATATCTGAGTAACTGTGCTCTGCTGCTCTAAGAGGTGATTTGCTGTTATTTCACATTTTGGCCATGTTTAGAGTTTTGTTTGGGGCGGAAGATGGAATGCACCTGTAAGTGCTCTCATAGGCGCATTGTTTATTTTGGGGAGGAGAAGCACTGGAGATTTTTGCAACAGCCTGCTCAGGAATGTAACTACATCCAGGGGAAATGTGTGCAGAAAGGTGGGGCCAGCGGCCATTTGGCACTGAGTGTTTGTAATCCAATTGGTTGTTGAGATCGAACGTTTGAGCAGCCTTTCTATCACACCGTGGCTTTCTGAAAGCTCATGGGAGGAATAGGAATTTTTTATGCTAAGACCAACCTGGAACAGCCCATCACCCGACACTCAGCATGAGTTAAGTGTTTTGGGTATCAGAACAGCTTTGCTAACTTATTGGACTATTTGTTTTCTGTGCTAAGAAGGTGATCATATATCAGGAGAAAGACAGAACAGGTGTGAGTGTATTTGTACTTAATTAGCTGCTTCTCAAAGGTGCACTTTTTCTCACTCAATTTATTGTATACTTCCTCTGTTAACTCTTTCCATAATTCACAACCCTTTAGTTTGTCACTGTAGTTATTGCCCTCTAAAACTAGACATCGTACGATCAGTTACAATTGTGTCATATTGGTCATAAGTTATTCTTTCAATTTCCAAGCCATTCTTTGTGTAGGTAATCTTTGTTTTTTCAAGAAAAGGTTTAGTTAGGTATTATGATCTTTTAATAGCCAGACAGGTTTTAGGGCCAAAGGCCTTCTCTTATTCTTAATATTTCTTGCAGGATATGCCTTTTGGAGTCCAGTGTAAGGGAAGTGCGGGTTGTTGTAGCTACAGTCCTGGAGAAGACACTAGAGAGTGCCTTACATTTTCAAGACAAGGGTCTTGATTTGCTGTTGGAAGCGCTGCTCTCCTTACTGGACAAGGATGTTCTTGAAAACTGCAAGAACTGTTCCCAGTACTTTTCACTGTTCAGCAACTTTGTGCAAAGGGTGAGTCATGCTTGTTCAGATGAGCAATACGTGTAAGGAAAATGTAACGAAGCAACCACCCATTTCCATTTAAATGCCTTATGCTGTAGATTTCTTTAAATTATGGATATGTTTAATAATTATGATTGAAAAGAATGCATGGTCAGATTTTTCAGCAAGCAATGTAATCAAGTTGTGCTGTGATGTAGACAGCACTGGGTGAGCTCTGAACCTGACTTTGTACTTTTGGTCCCTTGCAGGGTTACAGGTCCTGCCAAATTCTGTTGAATCACTCAGCGTACAGGAGGTTGCTTATTTTCTTATTGGGACCCAACCGACTGAACAATCAGGTGAAGCTAAAATGCCAAGGAGCTAAGAAACTAATTTTGTGTCGCTTTCTCTCTGTGTAGTTTCCATCAATTATACCATTCAGTATGTTCAATTTTATTTACTCTACATTGCTCAGTCTTTGTGCCCCGATTTGTCAAGTGGCTGTGCTCTGTATTGATAATTGGCTGTGCCCTGTCCTTGTATTACTCAGTATACAAGTTGTATAAAGACAATTTTCCATTGTCTTTACCCTTTCTGGCACTGTTCTAAAGATCAGTCAGTTACTCTCTGTACCCTATGTAATCCTGCTGTTTCTCGGACTTCCTGCAGAATCGGCGGTGGAGTTCAGCCCAGGCCCGTGAGTTTCTTCACCTACACAACACCCTAGCTCTGTTGGTGCTGCACTCAGACATCACCTTCCAGAGGACAGTTGGTGAGATATTACAGCACATTTTTGTCCTTCATTTTAACTTTTTATATAATCTATACTTAATTTAACTTATTGTAAACCTTGACTATTACTGGCCTCAGTGATTTTCACAATGTCTGTGAAAGCAGCTGACAGCACTACAGCTTCACTGCCATCTACAGTAAGTGAGAGATGAAGATCAAGGCTTTATAGATGTATACAGAAAGTGCTTATCTTGTGCTTATGTGAGAACTAAAAATAAAAAACATGTTAGGTTCTTTGTTCTTTGTAAGCAGCTAATAAATTACATATTCTATGTGATGTTAAATGATCTTGGATGCACTCAAAGTATTCCAACAAAATGAGCATCAGGTGGTGCAGGTGGTAGAGGCTTAAATTGAACTCTGCAATGCAAATCTATGACTTGCCACTGAAGGAATGTGAGACCTGAACATGTAGCTGAAGCAGGCATTCCTGAGAATGAAAACATTAGCCGCTAAGTGTCACAGGCCAGGTCAGATAAGCTAGAAGATTGCAAGATATGCACTGCATTCTCTTACCTACCTTAAGACATAGAGCTTTAACGGGAATTCCTTTGAACAATTAATTATAATAGTATGTTAACCACATTAAACTTGTGTTCTGTAGTTATTGTGCTATGTTAACTCCAATGCATTGGACATTTTTCAGGTTTAAAGGTAATATGCTGGGTAGGAATCACTCAAAGTTAAGATGCCTCTACAACATGTAGTAAATGAGATTAACTGTTGCTGGATTTCTGTGCCTTGACAGTTATCTTCACCATTACAGTACCATAAAAAAATATTTTTCCCCTATATGTTCTTCTGTATGTGCTTTCAGCTTCAGGTCTGTACAAGCATAGTCCATTGTTAAGTGTACCTGCATCTGCCTCCTTGTTACCTCTCCATGCTGACATTGAGGCCTTGCTCTTCAAGCCAGAAGGACAGCCCTATCTTCTGGAGGTAATTCAGCATATGCAAGCGGAGCTAGACCCATGCTGTTCCTCAGGGAACACCATTGGAAATCAATAGGATTCTTAAAAGTACTTTCAAAAGATTTGACAAATTTGAGATTGAAATTGGGTGGATATGCATCAAAAAATAAAATAGCAATTTCTAAATTTCTTTTAAAAAAGGGTCATTTTTATGCCTGTTTTTTATTTTCTTATTTCAAGGGGATTAACTAAGATGTGATATATATTTTATGAACCATAAAAAGAAACTCTTATGCAGAATTTTGCATACAAAACACATTTCAGAGAAAATCCATAAAGGAAAAATTGCAAAACTTGTCTCTTTTTCTGTAGAAAGTATACTAACATTTTATTGAACAGTAGTAGTATGGCTAATGTTGTTGTGGACAACGTTAGAGTCATTACAAAATTAACATCTGTGGTACACTATATTGCAACATCCTGTCTTGTTGGAATCGGCTCACTCCTCACCATGCCAGTTCACTGATATGCCAGTGATGCCACACATCATCCTGCTTTATTCACAAATATTCACTGGTGCTCAAGTCTGGCAAGTAGAGCAGCCACAGTCTAACTATCACATAGTGAGGTTGTATTTTATGAACATGCCTATGCCAGCGAGAGACAGCATATTTCTTCAATTACCAATTGCTCAAAGTGGTTGTTCATTTGATAAATGGGACATATTGATTACTTTCCATTTCTTGATTTTCACAAGGCATTAAGGATGTATTAGTAAAGATTATGGATTCTACCATTGAGTCATTACTGTAAAAATAGGGCACCCCTCACAATTTTTTCACTTCAAGATATTGGCACAACTGATCTGTTATTGCTTCATTGACTGATAATTCAATGATAATTATATGCTTAAAGATCTAGATCAAGGATCACCCATCCTGATCCTGGAGAGACCCAATCCGGCAATTTTTGTAGGTCCCCATTGAATCACCAAGTCCTAAAGATATTGAACAATTCCATTGTTATCAGTTAAACAGGCGATTAAAATTAGTACTCTTTAGCCCTCATAGTCCAGAGTTCTCTGAAGGGAACAGATTACTTGCTTGATTCATTAATAGCTTACAGGTGTTAACCAGTTTATAAAAACAGGTGAATTATAAGATTAACTAGATCCAAGGTTCTCCAGGAAACTAAGCAAGATGTAATGAATTTGGGAACAATTTATGGTCATTGGGAGCCCCATACTAAGTTAATTATTGACTTAAACTGAGTTTTCTTTCTCCATGCCAGGTTATGTTCGCCATGCGGGAGCTATCAGGTCCTTTGTCTTTCCTGATCGAGATGATTACCTATTGCTGCTTCTGCAATGAGCACTTCTCTCTGAATGTGCTGCAGCTCATTAAGGTAACATGACAGGAGAGCTCCATATGCTGGAAGGAAAGCAGATATTCCATGGGGAAAAGTTTATAGCACTGAATGCAGGTAGTCACCCACAAATGTGCTGAAAGAATCTGAGGTCACTATCTAATTGAACATTCACTTTTTTATAAACATCTTTTGTATGGGGAAAAAAGATGGTAGAAGTATTTTCTTAGAATATTTAATTCCAGAATAGTACTAGAGCCAACTTTTTGAAGTTGAAGTCTATTGAAATTAAGTCTATTTTTCGAACTACATTTCTTTTTTTGACATTGTATTTTTGTCTTTTGTGTCATTCCCTCCATAAATGTAAACACTGGTTTTGCATGAGAAAAATATACTATTATCAAGTACACTTGTGATTGTTTTTGCTGTTGATCATTCTATGCAGAATCAGCTAGAGACTGCTCCTCCACATGAGCTCAAGAACATCTTCCAGCTGCTGCTAGAGATACTGGTGAGTAAAACAGAATTTGTACATTGTTGTTACGCGCAGCCTACTTTGTAATCACTGTGGGTTATAGATTCTGCAGTACTTTCTCAGTTCCTAGACTGCATTAAGGACTAACTCAATGACTGTCCATATGGAAAAGAGAAATAATGAAAGTTGTCAGTTTAAATTTATTATTTAAATTGTTATTCTTTTATCATTAGGTTGTGGAAGACCCTCTGCAAGGTCAGAGATTGAAATATGCCTTTGAGTCTGAAAAGGGCCTTCTGGGTATGTATCGCTTTTAAATGTTCTGCAAAAGAAACAGCAGTGAATGGAAAAAGAAGTGTACAGTAAGGACAATGTGAATAACATAGTGAGATGTAGGAGTGTTAACAACTTGTAAGATTTTTTTTTTGCAAAGAGCATTATTGCTTTGGGCTCATTGACATTGCAAAATATCTGTCAGGTTATCTTTTGATAGATCTTATAGTGGTATTATTAGAATATGAGAAGTATCCAAAATTAATTGCAAGGAAAACAGTATCATCAATGAGCTATTTCCTTAAAAGGGTTTTGCATCCTTTTCTTTCCTCTACTAATTTTAGGAGTTCTAATGCTGCTTTTTTGTCTGTATTTATTAGTAACATGATGAAACAGATTATAATCTAGGAAGATCAGAGCATTGTTAGCCACATTTGCTAAATGACCAGTTTGAGAGATTAATAAATATAAATTAATTATATATATATGAATAATTATAAATAAAAGATCAATCAAAATATGTCTTGGTCCTGTTACTTAAATCACCTCCTTTTAAGGTAAATATGTCCTACAAAAGATAGAAGTACCTTCTGGTAGAACTGAAAATGATTCAGTGATATGCTTATTCTTTTGTATTCATGGTTTCTTTCTTCTTCTTACAGCTCTAATGCATCAGAGTAACAATGTGGATAGTAGTCGCTGCTATCAGTGTGTCAAGTTCCTTGTTACACTGGCCCAGAAGTAAGCGTTTTTTCTTTCACCAACCAAAATGTATATACTTTTAAAAATAACTTGTTTTGCCTAATACTAACTTGAAAACTGAAAGAAAAAATAGAGATTTGTGAATTCTAAAGTGTGTATTTTTTTTCAAAAAGGTGTGCACCTGCAAAGGATTACTTCAAAGAGCACTCAAGTCACTGGAGCTGGGCTGTGCAGTGGTTACAGAAAAAGGTAAAGATTTTAATTGTTTAACAAATACCATTAAAAGTAATTGCAGAAAGAACATTAATCTGAAGGGGGATTGTATAGTATTGTACTGTGAACAGTACATGTTGAATATTTGTTATATGACTTATTTTCTGTGTGGCTTGTTTGACTGGAATGATGTCCAGTTTCCAGGAATCAATTTAAAGAGGCTGGAAAGACATGGAATATGTATACCTGTATGTATGGAACTCCATAAATGTTTTAATTGGACTAAGAAACACAGATTAGGAATAAAATACAGATGCAGCCACTCAGATTGGGTGAAGTATAATGCGCTGTAGCGCAGCAACGTAGCGACCAACACCTTTTATTTTTTAAAATAATCAGATGTTACTTTTTAAAACAGGCTGGTGGCACAGTGAATGCTTTTCATGGCATGTCTAGTGTAATGTACAGTAAATCATATTAAATTTTATTGTAACAATAAAAATTAAATTCATATTAACACATTAGTGCTTTCCTGAGCTATTTATACTGTATAGTAACTTTAACAGAAATTTGTATTTTTTCATTAAATACAATACACAGAATTATTAGTATGTGTGTATAAATATTAATTAGAACACAATTTTATTTTAGGTATTGATTGTAAATATATTATATATAGTGGCTTTAAAAACAAAAACAGATTTATCTACTTACAGTAGGTCAACTCAGTACATAGTGATTGTAACAAACCATACAGTAAAATCCAATTTCCTGGTACTGTACTTTTCCATGTTAATGTATTTGCTGTGCGTAAAATAGTACAACAATGGTCTTTTATTACAGAAGGCTGCTCATTGTAACCTTTTCAGATATGTTCTCGAAAGATGAGTTGAAACTTTAAATGCTCTTTGAATTGCCTATTTAGTTAAAAACGACACAGAGAAACTGATTACTTCTTCAGATTTAAAAAGTTAACACAGCTACAAAGTATTATGGCATGCTAGTTAAAGTCTCTTTTAAGAACATGCAATTGTTTGATAATGTTCCCTTTCTAAGGCTACAACAGCAACTCTGTGTTTAAGACCATATTTTGTAAATTATTATCGTGTTTATCAGCTTGATCCCTACACTGAAAATTTGAGAGAAATCTAACCTTTCAGTGAGGTAAAAAAATTCTAAGAAAAAAAATCCTATAAAAAATAAACATTTTTCTCAAAAATACATACTGTATGTCACATTTATTGGCACTGCTGCATTTAGTACTTTGTGCACCCTCTCTTTGCCAAGATAACAGCACTGAGTCTTCTCTTATAAAGCTGGATGAGGTGGGAGAACACATATAAAGGGATCTGAGACCATTCCTCCATATAAAATCTTTCCAGATCCTTGGTCCGTGGTCCTCACTTGTGAGCTCTCCTCTTCAGATCACCCCACAGGTTTTCAGTGGGATTTAGGTCAGGGGACTGGGATGGCCACTGGAAAAGCTTGATTCTGTGGTCAGTGAACCATTTTTGTGTGGATTTGGAGATATGCTTTGGATCATTGTCCTGCTGGAAGATCCAACCACAACCCAGCCTTAGCCTCCTGGCAGAGGCAGTCAGATTTTGATCTAAAATCTTCTGGTATTTGATGGAGTCCATGATGCCATGTATCCTAACAAGATTCCGTTTGAAAGAAAAACAGCCACATAACATCACAGATCCACCACCATACTTCACAGTGGGGATTAGGTTCTTTTCTGTATGACCTTGACTCTTTTTACGCCAAACCTATAGAGGGCGTTTGTTGCCAAAAAGCTCTATTTTTGTCTCATCTGACCATAAGAACCCAGTATCAATCAAAGTTCCAGTGATGTTTAGTGAGCTCCAGGTGCTTACGTTTGGTTTCACAACAGCAGAGGCAAGCCTTTTAAATAGTTTGTTGGCATGGAGGTGGCGTCTTATTGTAGTTTTGGAGACTTGGTGACCCTAAGATGCGACCAACTCCTGCAATTGTCCAACTGTAATCCTTGGAGAAAGTTTTGCCTCTCGAACTATCCTCCTTACTGTACATGGGGGTGAAATACACTTGCATCCTCTTCCAGGCAAGTTCATCACAGTTCCAGTTGTTTGAAACTTCTAAATTATTGCCCTAATAGTCGAGATGGGTATTTCCAGGTGTGAAGCTTTTTTTATATCCGTTGCATGGTTTATGAAGGTCAACAACCTTTTGTCTCATTTCATTTGTGTATTCACTGATCTTCCCCATGTTGATGGATGACTAAGGGTGTTTGGCCTGCGTGTCACCTCATATTTATACCCCAGTGAAACAGGAAGTCATGGTCAACCACTTAAGAGTTCCTAAAGACTCAGATGTGATTTAAAAAAAGGTAAAATATGAATGGGAATATATGTCAATTATATTTTGTTCATAGGATTTTCTACGGGTGCCAATAATTGTGACACGTGTGTTTTTTAGAAAAATGTTTGTTTTATTAGGATTTTTTTTCTTTGAATAGTTTTACCTGAAAGGTTAGATTTCTCTCATATTTTCAGTGTAAGATCAAGCTGATAAACACCCGATAACCACAGCCAAAACGTTGTTTCCTTTATTCTCTTTTTCAGCATGGAATAAACCTTTTACTTGTTCCTTTGTTATATATAGTATGTATAATATACATGTATACTTCAATATTTATATTTCATACATTAATATAATTAATGACGTTATTATACTTTAGTATACAAATTTCCCTTTAATTAAATAATTCCATATTAAGTAGATTTAAAGAAGTGCAGTAGGGAATCAAATCAAATGAAGTGATAATTTCACTAATACCTAACACACCACAAGTACCACCTATCTTTGGCCATCTTTGGCAAACCACAGAGCAAAGTACTAATACAGCAATGAGTATTACTGTGGGTTCTGAGTTGCTGCATTTGTACACAAAGGGAGGTCACGACTAGTAGCTATTCTTAATTTAATTCTGTTGTCACCTGCCTTGTATAATCCAGAATGATACTAACTAAAGCAGTAACGTCAGATGGAAAGAGTTGCTGGGTTGTTTTCTTCTTGGCTAAGCTTTGTGAAGTGGCAGTGAAAGAGGTTCTGTTTTATTGCAGATGTCTGAGCATTACTGGACTCCTCAGAGCAATGTCTCAAATGAGACGTCCACAGCGAAAACCTTCCAGCGCACTATTTCAGCACAGGTACAGCTCTTCTAAATATTTGTGACACAGGAATACATTGCCTTCTCTTGTCGAAGTTCTTCATGCTCTATGCCATCTATAACTTATGCAGGTGTTGTAGGAAGACAAGAGAATCCTGTATTCTCAGTAGAATCTTTGTTTTAAAACTGTCTGTCTACATTTCCTGTCTGAAGCAGTGGTTCTCAGTGTAAGGTTCAAGGGCCTTGGTATTCCATGGACTTGGTCAACATTTGGCAACATTTACAGTGCCTTGCGAAAGTATTCGGCCCCCTTGAACTTTTCAACCTTTTGCCACATTTCAGGCTTCAAACATAAAGATATAAATTTTTTATTTTA